TTAAAACGCTGTGTGTAGAAATGTTTTAATCGATTGAAACGAGATTTAATCGATTAAAATAGTTCTGATCGGTCATAACCGCATTCTGATCGATCATAATTGAAACGATATAATAGCGGTTCCAGGTTAACCGCTATCTAAGTGAGATTTTAAGAGCGGTTCGTGTAACCGCTATCTAAAATGTATCTCGCTTGAGCGACACTCTTCTCGCTCGAGCGAAACGCCTCCGCACAAAATTGGCATTCTCGGGTTGTATTTCGCTTGAGCGACTCTAGTATCGCTCGAGCGATATTTGATTCTGATCGATTAGATTTTCGAAATGATCGATCATATTTGATAATTTTTTCAAATAATTAATTATAATCGATTAATTTTCTAAATTATTGATTAGAATTGATTAGTTTTTCAAATAATAGATTAGAATTGATTAATTTCGAAATATATACTAAAAAATTATAATTAAAAATATAAATTAGTTAAGAATATTGACTATTGTAAAGATAAAGTAGAACATGGGAGGAGATGATGATGATAATATAATGATAGAACTTACAAAAATGTAGAATTGAGAAGTTTGAAACAAATAAAATTAAGAAAATAGATATTTAATTACACTTTTAATAAATTTAAGATAATACTAGTTTTGATTTTTTTAAATATTTATTTTAATTATTTAAAACAGAGAAACTATAATTTTAGTTTCTAGCTATCTGAATTTAAAGAATTAAATTTATTATTATTTAATCTTTTAATTTGTAGAATTAAACTCAATATAATTGTTAAAAATACTTTGTAGAGGCATTTGAGAAAGCTTTTGTCAAAATACTTTGTTTTTAATTGTTAAAAACATTTGTAGAGGCATTTTGCAAAATCTTTTAAGTGAAGAAACCTCATGCAACGAAATCTTTTAATTTTAGTATTAAAAATTTAAATTATATTTTATTAAATTAAACTAGTTACAATATATTTTTTTACTTTGATAATGAACAATATAATTAAACTCAAAATCGACAATATTATAATACATTTTTGAACTCTTTTAGATTAATTTTTTTTCCTAATTTTTGATAAAGTTAATTTTAATATTTAAAAGTATTTAACATTTTGAATTCCGAAAGGTTTTCTCTAATAGCAAATTTAAAAACATAATATTCAAAAAAATAATTAATGTAAGTTTTCATTATGAATGATGAAAAGAAGAACATAATTGAGAAGATATGATAGCGGTTCCACGTTAACCGCTATCTAAAGTATAATTTAGATAGCGGTTAATGGTTAACTCGCTATTAGAAGTGCACTTTTAAGAGCGGTTCTTGTGGAACCGCTATCTAGAATGTATTTCGCTTGAGCGACAATGTTCTCGCTCGAGCGAAACGCCTCGCACAAAATTGGCATTCTCGGGTTGTATTTCGCTTGAGCGACACTACTCTCGCTCGAGCGAAATACGATTCTGATCGATCATAACTTGAAATGATCGATCATAATTGAGAGGATATAATAGCGGTTCCTTATAACCGCTATCCGAAGTGTATATTAGATAGCGGTTAAGGCTTATACGATATTCGAAGTGTATTTCGCTTGAGCGAGACTACTCTCGCTCAAGCGAAATCCAATTCGATCGATTATATTTTCAAAATGATCGATCATATTTGATAATTTTTTCAAATAATTAATTATAATCGATTAGTTTTCTAAATTATTGATTAGAATTGATTAGTTTTTCAAATAATAGATTAGAATTGATTAATTTCTAAATATATACTAAAAAATTATAATTAAAACTATAAATTAGTTAAGAATATTGACTATTGTAAAGATAAAGTAGAACATGGGAGGAGATGAGGATGATAATATAATGATAGAACTTACAAAAATGTAGAATTGAGAAGTTTGAGACAAATAAAATTAAGAAAATAGATATTTAATTACACTTTTAATAAATTTAAGATAATACTAGTTTTGATTTTTATTTTTAAATATTTATTTTAATTATTTAAAACAGAGAAACTATAATTTTAGTTTCTAACTACTGAATTTAAAGAATTAAATTTATTATTATTTAATCTTTTAATTTTAGTATTAAAATTTTAAATTATATTTTATTAAATTAAAATAATTACAATATATTTTTCTACTTTGAGAATGAACAATATAATTAAACTCAAAATTGACAATATTATAATATATTTTTGAACTCTTTTGGATTAATTTTTTTTCCTAATTTTTGATAAAGTTAATTTTAATATTTAAAAGTATTTAACATTTTGATATAATGAGCATGATAATATAATGATAGAATTTACAAAAATGTAGAATTGAGAAGTTTAAATTTTTTTTTATACTATACTAATAGTATAATATACTATATTATAATATTATTTGTATACAAAACTAATATCTTTATATATAAATATATAAATATGGAAAGATATAAATATATGTAAAAATATAAATATATAAATATATATAAATATGTAAAGATATAAACATATTTCTTTAATATTTTGTAAATGTAAATATAATTTATATATATTTTTAAATCTTTTTCTAATATTTATTTTTAAAAATATAATATTATTTTTAAAATTTAATATTTTTTTTCAAATATATAAATATATAAAGATATAAATGTATAAGGATATAAATAAATATATAAATATATCAATATATAAATATATCAAAATATAAAAATATAAGTATATAAATATATCAATATATAAATATATAAATATATATATATATATATATATATATATATATATATATACAAATATATTAATATATCAATATTATCCCCTCATATATTAATATACATTATGCTATATAAATATATCAATATATAAATATATCAATATTTAAATATATCAATATTTAAATATATATTAAAATATATAAATATATTTTTATTTATAGATTTTATATTTATATATTTATACGGATATACATTTATTTGTATATAAATATAATTTATTTGTAAGTTATTATTAAAAGATCCTAGTAGCTCAATGGTTGGAGTTTCAGCTTCCAACTCTAAGGTACCGGGTTCGAATCCTGACAATGACAATAAACCACCTAATAATAAGTTAAACTAAATAAATATAAATAAAAACTTAAATAAGCAAAATATAATATAATTAAGAGATAGGGAAAATAAAAATGTAAATAAATAAAAATAATTAAATTTGTTATTGATTAACTTTTTCATTGATTTAGTGACCGATTTGGTTATATATAATCGATCATCTGAATCGATCACTAAAATCAGTGACCAAGGAAATAAAGACCGATTCCAGTTGGTCACTATTTTAATTAGTAACCGATTTTGCACATTTAGTGACCGAATTTTCGGTCACTATTTGGTGTTTTTCTTGTAGTAACATCTTTAATTTAGCAAAATAGTTTCTGTACAATATACAATCATTAGGACATGCATGTATCTTCTTGTACTCTAAATTCATTGGACATAATATTTTCTTTGCCTCATAGTTACGAATAGGTAATGTATTATCTTCATGAAGCATCTCCTTCAACAACTCCAATAATTCGGTGAAACTTTTATCAGTCCATCCATTTCTTGCTTTTAAAGTAAACAATTTTAAAGTTGCTGATAATCTTGTAAAACTACATCCTATGTACAATTGTTGCGCAAAATTAGATTTCAAAGAATCATATAGATGTGCTTTCATAAAATTTTCTTCATCAATATCATGTATCATATCCTCTAGATTATCATCCATCCCTTCATCAAAATTGTCTGTAGTTGACACAGTTGGGATGTCTAATATTTCTCCATGCCATGTCCATATTGTATAACTCTTAATAATACCATAAACAAACAAGTGATCACGTATATCCTCAAGTTTATGACGAATTTGATTCAAACAACGAACACATGAACAATAATATGTCCCTTTCATAGCTTTTCCATTTTCACTAGCAAATTTCAAAAATTCCTCAACTCCCTTTTCGTACTCTTCACTAATACGACGTGCATTCATCCAACTTCGATTTATATTATGTTATAAAGTTTCGTCACTCCTAGAGATTTAAAAATTATATGTAAAAAGAAATTAATATACAAACAACAAAGCACGTTCCAACAACAATGGAGTGTGTAAACCGAATGCACTCAAACAAATAAACAAATAATTACATTCCAATAATAATCCAGTGGAGAAATTCATACTATAACGTGATTGAGATCCCAAAAACAATCACGGATTCAATTTAAACATATAGCAATGATATAGAACACTAACCTCGAGTGTAGACGAAAAATGATTTCAAACTCGAATCCAATCGGGGAGAAATATCAAGTTTGTAAAATGACACACAATGTTGATGTTTTCTAGTGTTAAACTGATCGAAAATGGTGTGCAGAGGTAGCTGCTGTCGTCGTTCTTAAAAACTCTGGTTGCGCGAGACGAGGGAGTGGGTCTGGGGGGAAATAAAAGGGACTTTTTACGTCGCGCACCCGAGCACGCGACGTAAAAATTATTGATTTAGTAGGTTCTCATCATCAGTAAGCAATAACAATGTTCCTTCTTTTAGGAAGGGAGAAAGAGTAGTATATTAAATGTATTCACACTAACACATCAAACCAGTTAACTGTTGAGCCATATTAATTCTTACTGCACAAAATTTATACTCACTAGTAATAAATTAATAACATATAAACAGTACATTAAAATTGAATACATATCAGGGTTATATCAGAAAGTTTAGACAAAAGAAAACATGTTGCATATGTCCTGTAATTAGTTAAGTGGTGTTTAGAAAAGTTACAAAGATAAAGTATACCATGGTAATAAACTCAATCGCTGTTTTTGTGATTGGATGACACTATATATGTAACTTATGAGAATTTAAACTTACCAGTTATATAGTATATGATCAATGACGTTAACCCAGGATTTCACTGCTATATAATTCCACCATTTGGAAGAAGGCCATAATAATATATAGTGCTAATTAACATGATTAGGCTCATGTGTAGAACTATGAGAGTAATCTTGGTGCTGGCCATGGCAGCAGTGGTTGTGGTTGTTCCAAAGAGAGTAGAAGCATCTCGTGCTTTCTTTGTGTTTGGTGACTCACTAGTTTACAGTGGCAACAACAACTACTTGGCAACAACAGCACGTGCTGACTCTCTCCCTTATGGCATCGACTATCCCACTCATCTCCCCTCTGGACGCTTCTCTAATGGCTTCAACCTCCCTGACCTCATAAGTACGCCAATCATACACACTAACTTAATCTTCATGTTCATACATAAACTATGTAGTTATTTAAAATGAATTGTTTTCATGTGGTGACATGTGATGATGCTGATTCATGTGGGGTGTGTGAATTTTGAACGTGATTGTAGGCAAGCGAATTGGGTCTGAACCCACATTGCCTTACATGAGCCCAGAATTATATGGAGAAAGGCTTTTGGTTGGGGCAAACTTTGCTTCTGCTGGGATAGGAATCCTCAATGACACAGGCATCCAATTTGTAATAAACTTCTGCATGCTGCATATATTTTTCCCTTATGTTATAGTTTTTCTTACCTTAGTCCTTGCCAAGGTTGTGAACGATAACTTGTAATTGAATTTTGGTATACTATGAACAGGTTGACATCATCAGAATTTCCGAGCAGTTTACATTTTTCGAGCAGTACCAGGATCGGTTAAGTGCAGTTGTAGGGGCTACACTGTGAAGAAAGAAGTCCCACATCCGTGGGAACTTCAATTGGGGGCTCTCCTCCTTCCTATAAAAGGAGCCCCTCCCCCCTTATTTCATACATCCCAAATATTTTTCCTTCTTTCTCTTTTACTTTCCTAGTATTGGTAATTTCCAATTGTAAAAGGAAAGAGTGGTCATTATAAAATTTTCATTTTTGCCTATTGTCAGGGTTATTTTCTCGTCTCTATTTTAGTTGTGTGTATTTATGCTGGTACTCTGATCCTAACAGTGGTATCAGAGCTGCGTTCGAGTTCCGTTGCGCTAGTCACTAGAATAGTGTTGGTAAAATTCTGAGTATGCTTTGTGGTTGCAGTTTAATCTGATCTTCCACATCAGAAAGGAGTTGTTACTGGAAAAGGTGTGGTAGTGTGAAAGTACTATTGAGGAAAGTTCTGGCTAGGAAAGACTTGGTACTTAAGCGTGTCCATTAGTGACCCACCTCTCTTTCCTGGGAACCTACTTGGTGTACTAGTTCACGGTTTACTACTATTGTTCCGGTAGACAATACTATTTATAAGTGATAGTTGCATAAGTCTGTATACAACCATGGCAGCAAAGTACGAGATAGAGAAGTTCAACGGGAACAATTTCTCGTTGTGGAAATTGAAGATGAAGGCAATCTTGAGAAAGGACAATTGCGCAGAAGCAATTGAGGGAAAACTCGCAGAAATGACGGATAAAGATTGGAAGAAAATTATTGCAAATTTACACTTGGCAATGGCGGACTCAGCTCTATCCAGTGTTGCGTGAGAAAGATTCTCGCAAAGGAGATTTGGGATGCCCTCATTAAATTATATGAGGTGAAGTCACTTCACACAAGGATATTCCCGAAGAGGAAACTCTATACTCTTCGGATGAGTGAGTCCACATCGGTGACTGGACCACATCAACCAACCGAACACCTTGTTTGCCCAATTAGCAGCAAGAAATTTCAACATAGTTGAGAATGAGCGTGCGGAGCTTTACTTCGAGCTTGCCGGACTCGTATGATCAACTCATCATCAACATTACAAATAATAATATTGAAGGACAACTACACTTTGACGATGTTGCCGGAGCTATTCTAGAAGAAGAATCCAGGCGAATGAATAAGGTAGAAAGTTCTAAACAAGCGAAGTTTTGACGATGATGAGAGGAAGATCAACTGAACGTGGCTCAAGTGGGAGTCAAGATCATGGCAGATCGAGCTCTCGAAACAAGAAGACTTTCAAATTTAAATGCTACTACCGTGGCAAGAAAGGGCACACGAAGAAAGAGTGTTGGAAGAGGAAGAATGAAGAATCAACCTCACAGGGTTGCGTTGCGAGTACTTCGGAGGAAGGAGTAATTCGGTAAGCGAAGCGACAATCGGCTCTAATGGCGGAAACGAAATTCATGACAAGTGGATAATGGATTCAGGTGCAACTTGGCACATGACCCCACACCGAGATTGGTTTCAAACCTACAAGCCTATCTCGTGTGGATCCGTGTTCATGGGAAATGACCATGCATTAGAGATTGCTGGAGTTGGTACTGTCAAATTAAAAATGTATGACGGTACTATTCGTACAATCCAAGAAGTACGACATGTGAAGGACTTGAAAAAAAATATATTGTCTATAGGGCAATTGGATGACCTCGGCTGCAAGATCCATGTTGAAGGAGGAATCTTAAAGGCAGTGAGGGGAAACATAGTTGTCATGAAAGCAGAGAAAATCATGGCAAACTTGTATGTGCTTATGGGAGACACCTTGCAAGAAAATCATGCAACAACTGCGTCGACAAGCCAAGAAGAAGCGGCGATAACGTGGCACCGTAGACTTGGACATATGTCGAGCGAGGTCTCGCAGATTCTTGCGGAACGTGATCTCATACCCGGGCTCAAGAAGGTCGATTTACCCTTCGTGAGCATTGTGTGACAAGCAAACAACACAGGTTGAAGTTTGCAAGAACCACCACAAGGAGTAAGCAAACTTTGGACTTGATCCATTCTGATGTCCGGGAATCACCGGAATTATCTCTGGAGGAGCAAAATATTTTGTGTCGTTCATCGATGACTACTCGAGGAGATTATGGGTATACCCTATCAAGAAGAAGTCCGAAGTATTTGCGCGGTTCAAAGACTTCAAAGCACAAGTAGAACTTGAGACCTGAAGGAGAATCAAGTGTTTGAGGACGGACAATGGAGGAGAATATGTAGATGGAGATTTTCTAGCATTCTCGCAAGCAAGAAGGAATTGTGAGACAATTTTCTGTTCCACACACGCCTCGACAGAATGGTGTAGCAGAGCGGATGAATAGAACTCTTCTAGAGAGAACCAGAGCTATGCCGCAAACCGTGTGCATAACAAAGTCTTTCCGGGCGAAGCCGTGAATACCGCCTCGTTACTTGATAAATCGGTCTCCATCAACAAGCAATTGGGTTGAAAACTCCTATGGAAATGTGGAGTGGAAAATCAACCGATTATTCTTCCTTACATGTGTTCGGTTGTCCCGCGTACGTGATGTACAACACCCAAGAAAGGACGAAGTTGGATCCAAAATCCAGGAAATGCATCTTCTTGGGATATGCCGACAATGTGAAGGGGTATCGCTTGTGGGATCCCACCGCCCACAAAGTTATTGTTAGCAGAGATGTCATCTTTGCGGAAAATGAACCGCAAAGCAAGCGGATAAATGACAGCTCGGAAAAGGACAAGACTATAGTACGAGATAGAGAAGAAGACTTCGGAACATTCCTCCGAGTCGGAGGAGGAGCATGAAGAACATGAGCCAAATGAGGTGGAAGAAGGAGAACTCCGACGATCAACAAGAGAAAGAGTCGGACCATCTTGGCATTCACAATATGTGATGGCAAGTCATGATGCGTATTGTCTCCTAAGTGAAGAAGGAGAACCTTCAACTTTTCAAGAGGCCGTGAGTGGTTCGAAGCTCCTCTATGGATGGCTGCTATGGAAGAAGAAATTGAAGCTCTTCATAAAAAACAAGACATGGCATCTTGTGGAACTTCCAAAAGGTCGCAGAGCCATTGGTTGCAAATGGGTCTATAAGATCAAGAGAGATGTCAATGATCAAGTAGAAAGATATCGTGCTAGACTCGGTGGTAAAAGGATATGCTCGGAAAGAAGGCATTGATTTCAACGAGATATTCTCACCAGCTTGTTAGATTGACAACAATCGAATTGTCCTGGCGATGTGTGCTTGCATTTGATTTACATCTTGAACAATTGGATGTAAAAACCGCTTTTCTTCATGGAGAACTTGAAGAGGAAATATATATGCTCCAACCGTAAGGCTTCAAAGAGCAAGAAAACTTGGTTTGCAGTGTTGAACAAATCTCTATACGGTCTAAAGCAGGCGCCAAGGTGTTGGTATAAGAGATTTGATTCCTTCATTATTAGCCTCTGATACTACGGACTAAGTTCGGACCATTGTACTTACCACAATAGGTTTGAAGAAAATGATTTCATCATATTGTTGTTGTATGTGGATGACATGTTGGTGGTAGGCCCTAACAAAGCTCGAATCCAAGAATTGAAGGCACAATTGGCTAGGGAGTTTGATATGAAGGACTTGGGACCAGCAAACAAGATTTTAGGGATGCAAATTCACCGAGACGTAAAAGATAGGAAGATTTGGCTTTCTCAAAAGAATTATTTACTTAAGATCTTGCGGCGCTTCAACATGCAAGATTGCAAGCCAATTTCTACCCCACTTCCCGTCAACCGTAAGTTATCCTCAAGTATGAGTCCTAGCGAGTGAAGCGGAGAGGATTGAAATGTCTCGAGTACCGTATGCATCAGCAGTGGGAAGTCTTATGTATGCCATGATTTGTACAAGACCTGGACATTGCACAAGCAAGTGGGAGTGGTTAGTAGATTCATGGGGAATCCTGGTGGAGAACATTGGCAAAATGTGAAGAGGGTCCTTAGGTATATAAAAGGAACCTCAAATGTTGCATTATGTTATGGAGGATCGAGCGGTTGTCGGAGGTTATGTAGATTCGGATTTTGCAGGTGATCTGGATAAAAGGAAGTCTACTACTCGGTTATGTGTTTACCATCAATGGAGGGGCAGTAAGTTGGTTATCCAAGTTACAAGATGTGGTAGCTCTGTCTACTACGTAAGCTGAATACATGGTCGTCACCCAAGCATGTAAAGAAGCTATCTCGGATTAAAAGAATAATGGGGGAACTTGGTCACAAGCAACAACAAATTGTTGTGTACTCGTGATAGTCAAAGTGCCTTACACATTGCAAGGAATCCAACCTTTCATTCGAGGACAAAACACATAGGAATAAGATATCATTTTGTTCGAGAAGTAGTAGAAGAAGGAAGTGTAGACTTACGGAAGATCCACACTCGAAAAGAACCTAGCGAGATGTAATGACAAAACCTAGGTTAATGCCGACAAGTTTATATGGAGTCGATCCTCTATGGCCTATCTGAAGCATAAGCAACATGGATGTGAGAGAGGAAGACATAGTGTGAAGATTTGATTAATTTCATCAAAATCTTCAAGTGGGAGATTGTGAAGAAAGAAGTCCCACATCCGTGGGAACTTCAATTGGGGGCTCTCCTCCTTCCTATAAAAGGAGCCCCTCCCCCCTTATTTCATACATCCCAAATATTTCTCCTTCTTTCTCTTTTACTTTCCTAGTATTGGTAATTTCCAATTGTAAAAGGAAAGAGTGGTCATTATAAAATTTTCATTTTTGCCTATTGTCAGGGTTATTTTCTCGTCTCTATTTTAGTTGTGTGTATTTATGCTGGTACTCTGATCCTAACATACACAGGCGAAGAAGGTTGTGAATAAAGGTCTAGTGCTAATGACACTGGGTGGTAACGACTTTGTTAACAACTATTTCTTAGCTCCCATCACTCTAAGGTCTATGGAATTCACTGTCCCTGACTTCTCTAGCTACCTATATCTGAGTACAGAAAAATTCTTACGGTGAATGTTCTCCTCTTCTAATCATTACTTTCTTCTCTCTCATTCACATTTGGTTTCTGTCATGGACATGACACATTTCTTGTATCAATGCATTAAATATTTGCATAATGCATAAGAACATATAGTAATAACTGTAGCAAGAGATTAATAGTTAGGAACATGCAGTAATGCAGAGGTTGTACGAGTTAGGGTCTAGAAGGGTGCTGGTGACAGGAACTGGTCCATTAGGGTGTATTCCCTCTCAACTTGCTACAAAGAGCACTAACGGGGAATGTGTCCCTGAGTTGCAACAAGCCATGGAGATTTTCAACCCTCTCCTGGATAACATGATCAAAGATCTCAACTCCCAACTTGGCAATCAAATTTTTATTTCTGTCAATGCCTTCCTAATGAACCTGAACATCATCACCAACCCTGAAAAATATGGTCAGTTCAGCATTTAATCAATTTCTTAATACCCTTTGTCTCTTAGGTGTGATATCTATATTGTTGAATGCTTAAAATGGTGCTTATGAGAATTAATTGATGCAGGTTTTGTTACATCAAAGATAGCATGTTGTGGACAAGGTCCATACAATGGGTTGGGCCTGTATAACCTCTTCTCTAACCTGTGCCAGAACAGGGATGCTTATGCATTTTGGGATGCTTTTCATCCAACCCAACGCGCACTTGAGTTCATTGTGGATGCCATCTTTAAGGGAACAAGTGACCTTATGAACCCTATGAATCTCAGCACCATCATGATCCTGGACTCAAACATCTAATATAATACTCATAACACTTTAATATGCATTATGTTTTCTTTTTTGGGTGTGTCTAATATAATTTGACCATATGTAATCTGTTCAACGATCAATCTCTGTGAAACAAAATTGTAGTGTTCATCACTTCTTATTTATAATTATAATTTGTTTACATTACTATGCTTTGAATTTCACCTCCAATGAATAAGCTTTTATAATAATACAATGTGCATGATGATGAGTACTTCAAAACCACCCAAATATTTACATTCACGGTAGATATTCTTGCTTTTCAGCACTTCTTTTTAGCCCAAAACCAAATTATCCATATCAACCATGTAATGAAAAAACTTGTTTTTTGGAACACATAAAAAAAAAGAGAGTCTAACTTCCGAAATTAAATTTCAGAACTAAAAAAAGAAAAAAACTTTTGAAACTAATTTTTACGTAATTTTGAAATGAATTTCTGGACGTAAATTTTTATAATTCTAAAATTTAAATTCCCAAATAATAAAATTTCACTCATTGATAAAATAAAATAAAATTGAATCGGTACGGAGTCCGTTTCTTACTAAAACCTTTAAAAGTCCACTCACGAAAACACAGGCGCAATATTGCCTACATTTTCTAATAAGTCCGTTATAAATTTTATTAAAATAAAATGAGTAAGGATTATAGAAAAAAAAAGGATTAAGCGAGTTTTCATCATTAATAAAACTGTAAGAAATTATATATAAAAAATTATAAATGAATCATAATAACAATTATCAAAATATTAATTATAAATAAAAAAATTGTTACACCAAATATACATCTGATTTGAAAGTGGTAACTAATTTTGTAATAAAATTAATTTGCAAGACAGCTGAAATAAAAATATAAAACTTAATTCAACAATGGTTATATCTAAACAAATACTAATCTCATTGCATATTATACTTAAACTTTCACAGGATAGTGAGTTGTTATAAATATCATAGTGATAGAATTTTTATGAATAAAGAAAAAAAAATTCAAACACTTGAAGAACATCATTGATTATTGTGAACCTTCAACATGGACAAAACTATATATTCTTCTCCAATTATATTTAAAGTTAATATGGTTTAATTGATAATTATAATTTATCAAAAGTAAAACATTAAATATTATTGAAGAACAATGAGTTTTTTATTTTAAAATAATATTATGGTTTAATCTCATTTGAGTGAAAAGAATATATTAAAAGGATACTAGTAATATTTAGATATGGATATTTTAAGTATGGTGGTTAAACAAAATTAGAATTAGAAAAGAAATACATTAGTATTTTTGATATTTTTCAAATTATATTAAAATTCTACGTAAATATATTTTGGATTTATAAATATCACACTATCATTGAAGAAAAAATACAGAGTGTAAATATAATTTAAAAGTATTATTGTAATTTACTATTAAAATTATAACTATATGTATAGCTAAAGGCTGTGAACTAGAGTAGTTGCTGTGAGGGTGAACAGTGAGAGAGCGCTATGGCGAAGGTTCCATCTCTGATTGATCTCTGCAGCGATGTTCTGGCGGAACAGCTTCTCTGTCCATTCGACGATCTTCTTCGTTCCATTTACCTCCTTCCTTCTCACTTACTCCACGCTTTAATCCAGCGTTTGCCGCCTATGGCACTGCGCACACTCCACCATTACCTGTACCTTGCCTCACTCCATCATTCCACAGTCAAATCTTTTACTCTTTTCCTTCTAACTGTTTTCCACTTTCTGTTGCTACAGGAACAGGATGCTCAACGATGAAGACATTTCGGGCGATGACTCAACCATTGAGAGAAAACGCACAGGGTTGGTTGAATAAATTGCGTTCTGTAAGTAAATTGCATTTTGTTTGTTGGTTATGGAGAATATTGTTTCGTTTCAGGGATTGGAATCTGAATTTAGCTTGGGAGAGGCTGTTTCGGCTGCGCTGGCCTGAGAATATTGGGCAGATTCAGCCAACGGATTGGCAGCAACTTTATTGGGAAAGTCACGTGCAAAAGTATGTTATAAACTATGTATAAATTAAGTGTTATGCAATGGGTTTGTTTAGATGAACATCTCTAGAAAATGAAAATAAGTAAAAAACAATGAAACGTGTTTTTCTTCAAGTTAGAATTAGATAATGCATGTGTTAATTTGTAAATGTTTGTTCATATTAGTTTCTTCAAAAACAATTTTTTTCTTATATACGACCTAGTTTTTACTTCATGGAGAAATTAATGTTATTTTTTTCTCTTTATTTCCATCTTCTAGAAGTGTTTGAAGTTTCCCTAAATAGGCCCTATCTTGAATTGTGTTTATCGGTTAATGTTGATTTCGTTCTAAATTTAATATACTTGAAAGAACAGTTGTTTGGATGAAGCGGCGGAGATAGCACTAATCCCAATGTTTAGTGGATGTATTGCTGACATACAGATTTCAGGTATTCTGATTATGGATTTTTATTTACGTTATTGAAAATCTACGTCTGAATTCGCCTTCCACTTCCAGCTTAGGCAGGAATATGTTCTCTTTTGAAAGTTGTTATGGAATGATTTAGTTTGCTACTCCAATGATAAAGTTGCTTTCTTGTTATCCACGAAGAGATGTGATTGTGAGTCTGTGACATGAGAATGAAATGTTAGTGTTGCATTAACTTTTAGGCATATAGATATCTTTGCAACTTTGACGTGTTGGAGGTGGTCCAGGATGTTGTTGACTGGTGACAAAGAATGATTAAGTAATACGGTTGATAGGAAGTTTCTTGAATTGCTTGATCATCCTTTTCTGTACCAACCTTTAATGCTTTAAATAATTTCTAATACACCTGCATTAGAGTTTCTGGGAGAAACTAAGTTGCAATGTATTTGCTTTTTGTCAATACGATTACAATGTCTGTATGTTTAAGGTGTTATCAACTTTGTGCATAAAAATTCCTATTTTTTAGCTGCACAACCCATTCCATTCTCCCATTCTATCCTTTTAGTTTGGTATTGATAATTTACTGGATTTTCTTTACTTTGGCCCTCTATTTTTCAGACAGCATACTGAAATATATTGGCTTTGTGGGGGATACAAGCCATTCAACACGACACCGACACTGTTCAAAATTATTTTACCATTGTCTACAATTTGGTACCCATGTGAGGTTAGATGTAAATTTAATAGTGTCATTATTTATATGGAAATTATTGTTTAGGGTGGCCTTTAAATAATAAAGGAGAGTCATGGACTTCATTTTTCTGTTCTTGGATATAAAATGTTGAATAGTTAGTTCCATCTTTCTTTAATTATCAGTTTCAGATTCAGCTCAATATTAAGTTTAGTTTTCCATCAGTGTTGTGACGAGGTGATAAGTAGGGATGACCCCACATTACATCACTTTGAAGCGGTGAAGCACTGCAGTTTGGTCATATCATTGTGTTGATGTGCACATTAACAAGACTAAAGTGTCTTAATGACAATGGGTAACTCACTGATGATTTAAATGCAAATTAAGTCATGACATAAATCATAGAATCGAATTGGACTAGAAATATAACAACTTAAATCACGCCCAAAATCCAACCAAATGCAAATCAAGAGGCTAAGCAAGTTCCAGAGGCAAATATTAAAGAATAAAGGGAGATGTCATAGAACAACTCTCTCAAAACATTAATTGATAGCTGAAGGCTCATGAATGGTTTTAATCTAATACCCCCTCAGATAGAATTCCTTTGGGCTACAAAAGTCCGCCCTGCCTCTGGGCAGTCTTAGAAAATGGACTTTAAGCTTAATTCTACCTCACAAAATTGATTTGTAAAGTGGGGTTTTTACCCACTTATATATGATAATTTGATTATATTTCTAGTCGATGTAGGATTTCCAACAAACAATGATGATCAACCTCCTCAAGCTTTAATATTATGTCACAGATCAACCCTCCTAAAAGCACAAGCTATTCAATGTGGATCAAGAATTATTTTACATCTAACTGCACATAAAGGGGGAAAATCAGTAGTTTTTGTCCACAACAGATGTGGGTATGAATAAAGATCATGAAATATAGATCCTGTTTTCAGGGCTTTTTCTTTGATTGCTGGGTAATATAATGTTCAGATGGTGTTAGTAGACCTGTATACCACATTATATTTGACACCATTGGCTACGAGTATTTTAAGACAGCGTAAATGGCTAGTTATCTGAAATAGCAGGATCTGATCTGGTCCCATTAGTTGCATCATCAAACTGGTTTCCCTCGATCTCCCAAGGCAATGGGGCTGTTTTTTGCCCTGCCTAGATGACCAAATTAACCACTTTTGACAAAAATGTTTTCATTAGTTGAATGTTTAACGTAGTCTTTTGGATATAGTAGATTGTAAAATCTTGCAGATATGTTAGAATCCTATATATCACAATTGATGATATTAAGATTTGTTAGTGATATTAGGATCAATTAGATTGATTCTATATTTATGTTATTATCCTAAATTAGATAACTGAATATTCTATACGGAATTGATTAGTCATGTTGTAGTCTAAACAAACGGAATTCATTATATGCATTCTCGGTTATTTTCTTCTTAACATGGTATCAAGAGCTTAACAAGAAGGGATGGTGCCAAGAACTCAACATGAAGGGATGGTACCAAGAACTTAACATGAAGGGAACCCTATTATGTGCTTTTCTTGTGTACCCACTGCGCATAAGTGTAATTCGCATGTTTCCCAACATCTGTTTTTTCTCCCATTATCACTATTCATCATCGACCATTTTGTTCATTATTCATGTTAAGTTCATTGTCGACATTACTATTTGGTAGATCTCTTATTTTTTCAACCAGAGTCGCCCAACTCTACTGGTTTTGTATCAATAGTCCTTCTTCCATACCAGCATTGTTTGGCTAATATCCTCTGTTTGGTTGGCTATCCTTTGCTTTGATGGCTATTCCTTGTGTTAGACACATGATTTGATTAAAGTAAATATGGAGATAAATTTGGTGTGATTACATTAAATAGGGAGATAAGATATAATTTGAAATCTTGCTAAATATTTCCCATTATTAGATACTGATTTTGTTCCTTATATATTAGAGGTGTTAAAATAGTCTTAATTCGATGAGCCGACTCAAAAGGCTCGAGAAATAGGTCAGACTAAGTAAAAAATTTGTAACCTAAATTGAATCAAATCGATTTTGACTTAGCCCGTTTTGGCCATGGCCTATATGTGCTTAGGCCAGCCCTAATCTATAATCTTAGAGGTCGACCCGTTTTATAGATAATAATTATTTAAAAAAAAAGTAGTATTATTTTATCAAAAATATGTACGTATTATACATTAATTTGATGAGAGATTTACATATTTTAAGAATATATTCTGACAACTACTTATTTCAAAATCTAATGGTTAAGATTAATTAAATCAATAAATTACTAAAAATAAATGATGACAACGAAGAGTAAGGTTTTTACTCTTATTTTAAGATTGAATGGATCCTTACTCTTATAATTTATATATTAAATCACTATATGTTAAATAAAAACTAATTTCATTAATATAATTTATATTTTAAAAATATATTTTTTATTTTTCATTTAAGTAGTTTTTAAATTAATTGTTGTGGTATAAACATGTTAATAGTTATTTTTTTAATTTTCAATCAGGTCAAAATTTGCTTTTTAGCACGTTAGCCTAACATAGGACTAAACGAGGTTAAAAATTATGACTTATTTTAAAATATAAATAAGACTGGGTCATCAATTTTTTTTACTTGGCCCGTAGGACCAAGTTAGACTGGCGTTCTAATTATTACATCTCTTCATTATAAATAAGAGTACCCATGTGTAGTCTAAACATACGAAAATCAATACATTCCTTCTCAATTTCCCTCCTCTCAACATGATACCAAAGCACTACCAGCCTCCATGACCTATTTTGTCACTATGCCTTTGGACGTGGTATCAGAGTCAATGTCACAAATTTGATTCTTAGTGGAGCATTTGTTGAAGAGTTACATCCTAACTATTAGTTATAGCTTATGGTCTAGAGGTAAAGGTTTGATATAAGAGTCTAACGAGAAGGAAAATCAACTTTGTGCTTTCCCTGTGGATCCACTACTTATAGATGTAGTTCCTTAAAAAAAAAAACTATACATGTTTTCGGATTTTTTTCTCTTTTGTTATTGTCAAATATTATTAGCGGATATCGTGCCATGTATTTCCCATTACTAGATAAGGATTGTGTTTCTTATTATCATATATCTTTTTCATTATAAATAAGAATACTCATATGTCTAAACACACATAATTCATTATATTCCTTCTAGATTACTCTCTTCTCAACATTGTACCAAAGCAATACCATCCTTCGTGAGTTATTTTGCCATTGATCCTCTCTACGCATAGTTTGGTTGGTTATTCTCTATTTTGTTTTAAAATCTATGTAACTATTTTTCACAATCTCTAAGGCTGATATGTGATGGCTCTGAAACCTTATGTGCCTATTTTCACCAACTTTGTCATTGCCTTGTTATCTATTGATTAGTTGGATGGCAATGTAACTATGATTCTTGGGCTCATACATCAAACTCTTGCCCAAGGGTCAAGGTTATCTTGACCATCTCGCTACTAAAGAAGAAATTATGACTAAGACTATTGATTGCCATAAATTTTGTCACACCTTCGATCGTTGTTATGTTTTGAATGGTTTACCACTTAAAATAGGTAATGTGATAAACTTTAATCCAACTGATTCTCTTATATAATCCACCCTTGCAGAATTTTCTTCTGCTCACAACATTCCACCAATAATCTTCAATGATTCTCTTCAATGTGATGGGGACTGTCAAGCCTCAAGTTCCAATTCTGGTGTTGCACACTCTAGTAATTCTTTTGTTGACATCTCTCCTTTGGACCCATGGGTCCTTGATATTAGGGCCATTGATCATATGATTAATTATAAGTCTTTTTCTTCCCTTTCTAGTTTAGTTATTTACCTTTTATCACCATGACAAATGAACCTCAAACATTGTCCCAAATTGTTGATATTGACTATTGTATGCCTTCTCTTTTTATACACTAGTAAACTTATAAGTTCTTTTGATTGTGTCATTTCTTTTACAAAAAAATTGTTTCCTTGCAAGACCAAAGAGCATAGACAACTGGTTTTGGATGTGAGTTTCATTACCTCTATCAGTTGAACAAACATTCTCTTGTTTGATCAACACCACTATTCCTACTCGTAATCCATGCTTAGTTAGGACATTCGAGTCTTGAATAGTTGAAGCAGTTAGTACTAAGTCTTTCTAAGTTAGAATCTTTCTCTTGTGAGTCATATCAATTATATAAGCATATTCGTAATGTCTGGGGTCCAAGTTGTATTTCCTTTACATTATGATCAAAATATTGTTACTTTTGTGGACAATTTTTCTCATTGGACTTGGTTATGTTTAATGAAAGACCATTCATAATCATTTTATATTATTCATTCCTTTTTCCACAAATCAAAAGTCATTTTTGTGTCCTTATTCATATTTTACAAAGTGATAATGCATGTGATGTGAGTATTTGTCTACTCAGTTTTAGACTTTTATGGCATTTCATGCTGTGTAAATATAAAACAATTTGTCCTCATTCTCCCGACAACATGGGGTGGCTTAACTCAAAACAGATATCTTCGAGACTTTCTGAATTTTTCTTCCCCGCTCTTCTTCACTCGTGTTGCTTGTAAGTTTTGGAGTGATATAGTATTTTCTATATGTTATCTCATCAACTGCATGTCTTCTTCCATCTTGAAGGTAAAATCCCTCACTAAGTTCTATATCCTCACCACTCTTTTCATCTTTTGTTGCCTTGGATCTTTCATTTTATAAGTTTTGCTCATGCTCTTTGTTCTAGCATTGACAAACTCTTTCCTTAGTCTTATAAAGTGTTTTCTTTGGATACCCACAATCTTAAAAAGGGTAGAAATGTTATTTCCCTACTATGCAAATCACAAGTATTTCATTTTTGTTAACTTACCTTCTTAGAAATAGTTCCATTTTTTGAACATGCATCATCTATTTCTTAGACTTCTCCTTCCATATTTCTTGATTCATCTCTATAAAATGGATTTGTAAAGTTATATTTGTACTTACTTATATACTCTATTTTAGTCATATTTCTAAGCAATATGAAATCTTCAACACATCCCTTCATGCAAGCATTCGACATCTTGAGCATAGAATTAGAAAGGTGCAGGTAGTTTGATAGTGACCCAATAATGAGTGGCAAAAGCCCACCAAACCTGATTAGGATAGACTTTATTTTGGTAATATCTTTATGAGATGTTGGATCTCCAACACACACCCTCATGTTGATCATGGGTGTCCCATAGCAACCCAATAGTGGATGGTATGATAGGTCCATCAAACCTTACTAAGATATGTTTTAATACCATCTTATGGATTTAGATGTAACTCAATCCTATAAAGTTTGTTTATAAAGTGAGATTTGTACCCATTTATATACTCTATTTTAGTGTAGAGATGTGGGATCTTCAACGCTAATGTTCTTGTTTTTCTTTGTTGTCCTTTGCTTCTGTTCCTAAGAATGCAAGTGAGGCTTTTGTCATCCAAGATGGAAACAAGCTATAGTAAAGAATACATGTGCATTATAATGTAGTGAGACTTGGGACCTCATTCCTTTAACACGATGGAAGTCCATTATTGGTTGTTGATTGGTGTATGTAGTTAAGGTTGGTCTAGATGGTAAGGTTGATCGGCTTAAGGCTTGTTTCATTGTGAAAAACTATACTTAAACCTTTGGGTTGAATTATGGGGATACTTTTTCTTGGGTTGCCAAAATGTCTTCTATGAGAATATTCATTTCCATTGTTGCCATTCGTCAATAACCTCTCTACTAAATGATTATAAAGAATGTCTTTCTACAACATGGTGATCTTCTCAAGAAAGTCTACATGGAACAATTATTTTGCTTTGTTACTTAAGGGGAGTGTTCTGATTTTGTGTGTTGATTGCGAAAATCTTTGAATGGCCATAAGCATTTCCCGTTGGCATGGTTTAGTAAATTTAGTATGTTGTTCAACAATTTTGTGTGTCACAGAACAAGATTGACTACTTTATGTTCTATTTTCACTCACTTGATCGTTGCATCTATCTGGTTGTTTATATTAATGACATTGTTATCATGGGTAGTGATTATCTCTTTATTGCACAAGTGAAGTAACATTTTTTCAAGCATTATAAAAAAAGATCTTGACAATTTGAAATATTTCTTGGGAATAGAAGTAGCATAGTTCAAAAATGGGATTAGCATATCCCGAAGTATGCAATGAGTATTCTAGAAGAAATAGGAATTTTAAATTCCAAGATAGTTCAACCCAATGGATCTTCACCAAATCAGAACGAGCCTATTTTAGATCTTGAAAGGTACAAATCATTGTAGGGAAGTTGACCTACTTTTTTGTTAACCATTTGGATACCTCATTTGCAATAAGTAGATTCCTCAACTCTATATGTGACAAACATTGTAAAGTAATGACTTGCTTTGTTCGATACCTCAAAGGAGCTCCAAGAAAAAGTCATTTGTATGAAGACAAAGGACATAGTCTTGTTGTGGGGTATTCTAATGTAGACTGAGTGGGCTTCCCCATTGATGGAAGGTCCATATCTTGCTTTTGTATATTTGTTAGAGATAAACTTCTTTCTTTGAAAAGCAAGAAGAAAACTGATGTAGCCAGGTGCAATGTAAAGGCAAATTATCGAGCTTCGGAAGTAGCCAATCAAAGCTTATATGGCTCAAACATTTGTTTCAAAAATTAAAGTTTGGGGAGATTACACAAATATAACTTCTATGGGCAGACTCATGCATATTGCCTCAAATCCAATATTCCAAGAAATGTCGAAGCATATTAAAATTGATTGATATTTTGTTAAAGAGAAAGTCATGTTCAGGGAAATATCTACTAGCTTTGTAAGTTCCCATGATCAACTAGCAAAAATATTCATTAAGTCAATAAGGAGCTCTCATATTAACTACATACGTAACACGCTTGGTGCAAATGCCTTTATGGTCTAGCTTGAGGGGGAATATTAAAATCGTGTAATGTCATAATCCTATGGATATAATAACTAATGATATTAAGATTAGTTGATATTCGGATCAGTTAGATTGATTTTATATTTATATTATTAGCCTAAAATTGGGTACCTGAATATTTTGTAATTATGTTCTCCTTTGTGGTCTAGACACATGGAATTCATCATATGCCTTTTTTGTTTCGCCCTTATTTAACAGTGGCAATGTATAATGATCATAACCATGCTAGTAACTATGCTATATATTTCTGCATTTAAGTTGACCAATTATTTTGCACCTTATATCACATTGTCTTAATGCAGTTGTTTGAGGCTGCAAAATGTTCTATGTACTACAGAAACTTGTGTAAGTTGTGTTTTATAGAGTATTCTAGAGTTCATTTGGTTTTTATCTTTTTGGAGCTATGGTCAATGTATTTTCACCAGGTCAATGCATATGTAGCTTTTGCAAGCTTACAACACTGTTAATAGTTATCTGTGTTTGAATTTAACTTCTATGTATTGTTAATGCTAAAATTTTTACATCATTAATCAATCAGCAATCACCATTTTGATGACTTTTGAGTAGTTATTGTGGCAGTTTAACATACATGACGGTTTATGATTTGATGACAATGTAAAAAAATACTTCTACATTAACAGTGCATTCACTATATACTCTCTATATTATAAGATTCATTACTTCATGTAGTTTATTCATTAACAATTGACATATTTTCAATTAAGGATCTGTTAGTAAAATTGTATGTGGTTTATACTCTGACTTGTAGGTTTTGTTGAGTGAATGTAAGCTGCAAAGTTTGGTAGTAAGATGTATCAGATCCGAGGAACAAGTAAACTTCCTCCCTTATAAATCTATATAAACTGTATTAAAGAATTTGTAATTTTGTACTTGCCCGTACATATTTATCTAAATCTTATATTAATTCTATTTTTTCAAGTTTTTCCTGTGATAGTGCTAAACTGAGCAAAAGCAAGATGCTCTTAGGATTTCTATAGCATGATACAATTATCTTGGGCATGTGCATTTTGGCCCTGTTGCTTGAATTAATTGGTTTGCCATATTATATTGATTGAAGTAAAGATGAAAAACCATGACCCTTATATGAATAGTTGCTATTGATGCCGACTGTAGAAAGACATATATCTAGCTCTAGTATATGTTTCTCTTTCTCTCCCTCAATGGGGCCTGATGGTGATATGTAAATTGAAATTCAACACCTTCTGAGCAAAGAGGGGAATGTTCAAATTTCAAACTTGGTGAAGCAACTTCTAGATCCGCGTGTTAAAATATATCTTACTTTGCAAATATGATTGGTTTTATCAATACTTTGTCCAAGTGTAAAATGCATCTTTATGACCTTATTATTGATGATTTGACAGGTTGATGGATTATGCACAATTCTTGCTCAACATTGTAGAACGTTAACATCTCTGGAGTTTTTTCACTGCACACTCTCCACTCATTTTTTTAGTTCAATATTTGGTTGTATAGTCATAGAGGATGAACAAAAACATGGGATCCAGCATTTGTCAATCGTTGCATCAAGTTTTCAGAAACCATCTTTACCTATTGGACTCATGTATTTTTTGTCCTCAGGAAGGTAAATGAGTGTAAATTCACTTTTTGGTTTTTATTATTGGCAACTTTATTACACTTTGTAGTTTTATCGATGTTTGATGTACTTTAAGTATTCATAACTACTTTGAAGACTTAATTTGATTTTAATGTAACTTGTTTGGAGATATTAAGAATCGAGGGTTTTAGTATGTATACAAGCTTGACCTATATGCTTGCATATACTTAACCTAGTAATATGAATACTAGGATTGCTCACATTGTAGTGTATTCAATTACAATTTCCTGATATGCCTCTCTCTACTTTTTCCTCTCACTTTCCACAATCTACATGTTAGGAAACAGGGGCCCATTGGAGATAAGCCCTTTAAGGTTTTTCAACATAGGGGCAGCACTATCAGGGGTAGTGAGGGTAGTCAGGTAATTGCTGAGGTTGTTAGAAAGGAGTAGTGCAAGTGATTTCTGTTATAAGAAAGTGCAGTCCCAAATGTATCGGGGTGGGGAATTCCTAATTGAATCGGTAGTGAAGAGAATTTCTCTCACTTGGGGAGCCTTTGGCTCTTGGTTTCCTTTCCACTTCTTTAATAGCCTCTGATGTTATTTTTCTGATTGCAGGTTCCTTGATATTTTACTAACATTACATAAATAAACAACTGCTGATACATCTATTTCTCAAGGAATTCTGTCTGTAGTTGTTTCTCCATTTTCCCTCTTGGCTACCATTTGGTGGCAGATAAGGAAATCTTATATATAGCTTCCACCTGAATGTAATATTACAAGATAACATGATTTCACATCAATTTCAGAGTTATTGAAGAAATTGACTAACTTTTTGAAAATCATTCAACGTCTGATAACATTAGATTGAATACTTTAGTCGATCGCCTATTATATTTTTCTCATTGCCAAGGATTCACTGAAATTTACACAGAATTATAACTAGTTTCAAACAGTGTTAGGAGGTGCTTATTTATTATTGTTGTAAATGTCACATTGTATTTAATTCTTCGTTATGTTTAATCTTAATTATGGGAGTGCAATTCACTCAAGTAATTTTTCAAATGTTCTAAGCATATACGCAGTGTAGCGTAGGGGTCATAATTGTGGGAAAAACATAAATAAAAAAGGGAGTGACAGATCGTTGTTTAACCATAAACATGGAAACGTAATTGATTTTCCCACCACCACTCCAACACAAACTAATTTTAATCATATGCAACTGTTTGCATAATGATTTTTTATGCCATTGCTGTGTATTTCACTTGGACTTGTAACGGTATAATTGTTTATCTGTGTGTTGAGTACTTACCTTTATTCATATTATAATGCTGTTAATAGGTCCTTGTGCTCATTAAAATTATCTGACAATCACCATGGACGGACTTTTGCCAAAAGTCTTTTAATGACTCTTCTCAATCTTTCCTCTGGGATATCTGTCCTTGACCTTTCTTATAATAATGTAAGTATTTTATCTGCATATCCATTTTATATTTTGTCATTGTTATTGTTGGCTGACAAAAAGTTCCATGCACATGTTTTAAGATAGCAGGATGGCTTTCTGACTTTAACAGAAGATTCTCGAGTGATTCACATTTGTGTTATGTGAATGGAAAGACGTTGAAAATGTTGCGTGTACTCACTCTGAGGTAGCAGCATACTAAATATAGTTGTATTTGTGTAATGTTAGAACTTTTTAATAATCATCTTTTTTTGGCTGTGATGAATAATAGAATGTGTACAGAAAATGAATGAGGTGGTTTCTGTATAAGCTTGTTGCATTTATATTTTCATTGCCGTAAGTAATAGATTAAGAAAAAGATTTTTAATCCGTTTATTGTAGGGAAAGCAGTTTAGGAAAAGATGATGCAGAAAGTCTTAGGTATGCTCTTGAACATATGCCTAACTTGGAGGAGCTGGATATAAGTGACAATCCAATTGAAGATGAAGGAATCAGGTCAATTGAATTTCTATTGCTATAGTTTTAAGATGTGAAATTAGATTATAGTCTAATTGTGTATCATCAATCTTACAGGAATTTCGTTCCCTATTTTGTTGGAGCATCTGACACGTGTCCTCACATAAATTGTCTGAAGTTAGAGAACTGTGATCTGTCCTCTGTTGGAGTGAATCTTCTCCTATATGTCCTTTCTGCTTGTAAAGCAACATTGAAGTCTCTTTCTATTGCTGACAACTACCTTGGCAGGTTCTTGTACAGCACTAAATCTCATTTCACCCCTGAATTCATCTTTCCATTTTGTATTTTGACTTTTCTTATATAGTCAAGTAACTAAAGCATTGGGAAAATTTTTTAGTACCCCAATCGAAGTACTTGACATTGCAGGTATTGGTTTGGGTTCTTCTGGTTTTCAGGAGCTTCAAAATCTAATTAAAGAGGAGCTTAAACTGATGAAAATTAATATAAGGTAAAGATTTATACTTAATGTTCTGCTGTTGCTTTTAATGTTGTACATACAATCATGTGATATGTTTTCTTATTTATTCAGCAAAAACCGTGGTGGGATTGAAACTGCTAAATTTTTGTCCAAACTCTTGTCACGGGCTCCACAACTAGTTGAAGTGAATGCCACCTGTAATCTTATGCCAATAGACTCACTGGCCGTCATTTGCTCTGCATTAAAGTTTGCAAAAGGTATGTTAGTGTCTGTTCTACTGAGTGACCACTTGACTCGTAGATGCTGGTATGTGGGTGGTCGTAGCTTTGTGCTCATCAAGTTTGATAAGCTGCTAAAATATGCCCACTAAACTCCCATTTTTGGTTACGTGGACGCTAGCTACTAGTACGATATTATAGTCAAAAGAAGCTACTAACTTCAGCTAAAAGATTACTCCTAGCTCAACCTAGGCTTTTACTAGAAGAGAGAGCACTTGATATGTGTTTCTTGTAGAGCCATTTTAAATCTAGATAACCAAAGTATGCTTTGAAGTCAATAATTTATGTTTTCTTCTGATTAATTGTTTTAGCTATCTTGCTTTAGGTAATGTTAAGCGTGTGGACTTGAGAGGACATATATGGAACTATAAGCCAGAGCAGATTTCCCTATGCAGAGAAATTGTACATGATGGATTACCTATATTGGTTCTTCCATTACCATCAGCCTCTGCTGTACTTCATGACCATGATCCTTAGAATTTTGGCGAGTTCAATTTATGATTCAGGGCGTATGCAATTAATAGTTGTTTTCATTTCTTTATTTATCATTATGTATGTTAGCACAGTTTTATGCATAATGCTTTCAAATATTTTATTGCCTGTTCTGTTTTTTTATTTTAATGTATTTTGTAGTTCATTAGATGCTGTGCAAACATAACATGCACAATCTGATGTATCAACAAACAAGATGTAACAACAACACTTGTTTTGGGGTTAATTTTATATGATCAGTTGTCATGGTGGTTTGGAAATCTACTGTTCGTTGCTATTTGAATGATTACCCTCGTTCAATTTGTTTTGTTCCAAGCATGTGACTGGTTTCCAATCTCCCACGCATGTATTTGGAAATACTCGCTTATCCTTGTCTGTGATCTCAACACATATGTGGAAAGTTTTGGAAAATCCTGTGGAATTTTCACAAGGCTTTTTGGCTTGAGATTAACTTGCAACGACATATCGTGCACCAACCAGGCCACCACCACCCATGCAATAATTGAATTGCTGCACATTGGTAGCGACATTTTAGATACTTAGTAATCTTAATTAACAACAAATTAAACTTAAGAACTAATTGTGATTAAAGTCTTATATAAAATTATGACATGAACATATAATTTTAGAAGGTTAAATTTATTTCTTTTTTTCAAAGTTTTCTGTACAGTAATAATGTCGGAAACTAGGTATTTTCCCCTGGTATGGGTGGTTTCTTAAATGTAAGTTTTAACTTTAACATTCGAACGGGTCCCTCAAAGTTATTGGTTTCATAATAGACCATACCTCATTATCCTTCATTGTCGGATCTGGACCTGCATCATCACACAGTAGCACAAGAAAGTAACTGTCTTAGTCATTGTGACATGGAAGATGAAAAAGACATCCCATCCATGAGGAGTAGACAGTGTTGGGTATTCTTGTTATGGAATCCCTGAAGAACAGTACGAGGAAGCAGGTGCACTGTGACAAATTAATTGTGTTCTTACACTTGCTCCTCTCACTACACCAATTTAAACATTTCCTTCTTAAACTTAATTACACTGACTCAACTACACATGTGTGGGTGGGTCATGTTGGAATGGGGGAGTAACAATTATACAAGTACCTAACTTTTCTGTGTCGTCCCTTTCTTTTCAATCTATAGTTCTTTTCCCACTGAAAGCAAGTGAATTGCACGAAGGCTATGAAGTAGGTATATCAAAGGTCAATAAGGTGACTTTTGACCCTTCTCTTCTCATACACCATTTCTAATTTTATTTTATAACAAAAACAAATTCCCCCCATTCATGTCTCCTGTCTAATAACCAAACGGGGGTAACAAATTACATGTGACCCAAACAGTACAAACATGGAATTACAGTTTTAAATAGATTAAATTAAGTCCACTACTATCATGCCACGTATGAAAATCATAGGGAACGTTTATGAAGTGTTATTAATTGAACAACGGAGTAATAGAGGGAAGTGATATTTCATATGTAAAATTAGAGTATTTGATTGCTGTAAAAGAAAATATTGACAAACCAAAATGACCACACGTGATTATAAAAGTACAGCGTAGTAATATCATTATTTTATGAAGTCCACGTTTCATGTATAAAGGTTTTGGATCACAACCTGCCAACTGTACACATTCCTAAATCATAAGGAATTAATCTGAATATAGTAAACAACATATGTCTCATTCCAATTTTACAAGATGCCACAAAAAACTATAATATGATGTCCTTACACCTTAAAATAGACAACACTCCCTGGAACTCGCTTCAGCCAACCTGTAAAGATGGAAACTTTATTTCTATATTTTGTTTTAGGTTTTAATTTAATTCAACTCCAACCTTGCTAGCATATAAAACCTAACTACTAACGTGATCAAGCAAAAGCGAAAGTGGACAACTTTTTTATGAAAAAAAATTGAATATTCTCTTAATTTTCTAAAATCTTTAGGTATGTCCAAATCAGGTTGTTAACTAGGCTTTGTCACGAAGTTATCCCACCTCCTCTCTTTTTTTTTTTCTTGGCTGTTTTCATCATCCAATGTCAAGACTCATTCCTTGTAAAAAAATCCATTTAACCAACTTTATATAATAATGCTATTGAAAGACCCGTGAACAAACATTTTTTTTTAATGTTTTTTCTTTTCTTTTGTTTATCTGGTGGAACTTCTTATCTTATCTGTTTTAATTGGAGTCTTGACCATCATTGCGTTATGAAAATATAAGATGATGCATTGAATCTTGGGACCATCTTAATGTCTAGTTTACACGCTGCCATTAGACGACAAGAACAAGTGAGACTTTTTTTTCCATGTCTGCATGTTTGAAAAACTTCTTAAAATGATCACCTACTAGAAACAAATCAGACATCATTCACACACAAACTTTTGTTCTAGTTTCCAATGACATTATAAACTTCTTTGATGGTGTCTTATTAGAAACAGAAGTTGCACCACAATTTAAGAGATGTGAAATCTAACATCTCCAACAACGTGTGACAGTGCTACAGTACCTTGTAATTTTTCATTGCTACCTTCTTTCTCAAGTCACTCTTCAATAAATGTTTGTTTTCAAGTCTAGAAGATATGTTAAACACTATCCACTTGCTTTATTACTGTTTTGTTGTGTAAAAGTCTTATATGTTAGGAATATGAGTAACAGCACACACCTCACATATATAATAAAAGATAAGATAAAAATAAAAATAATAATAATAATAATAATAATAATAAACAATTATATTTATTATTAGATAAAATTACAATACCCTATTTAAATATAAAAAAAATATTATCTCTAAGAAATAAAAGAACTCAGCCAATACCTAATACACAAGTAAAAAAGATATTTTGGATGATATATAAGGTAAATATCGTGTTTCTATTATAACAGGAAAAGTAAACATCATAATATAATTTTTCGATTAGATTTCTCTTCTAACCTTCTTCCACTTGAAGATTTTGAGTAAATTAATCAAATTTTCACCATATATTATTATATTCTGTGTTACTATTTTTCTCAGTAGACTTTCAATAAGATTGACCTATATAAATTTATCACTATTAACCGATTGTCCTAACATCTATTAGGTTCTTTTTGCTTTGTTCTGAAAATGTAAGGCAAAATTTTTTACAATGTGCACCACATTTTAACTGTCATAATACAAAAATAATCTTTTGTTGCATGTGACTGAGTCCCTCCATTAACCTTTTTAATCCAAATAACTTCCTCACATGTTGGGTGGCTACCATTTTCTCAACTTATATATTAGTCAGAACTATAATATCTTGTGTCTCTCTTACAGGTATAAACATATCAAAATCACCTATAACATCTGAACAAACATAACATCTGATAACTAGTTCTGATCCTCGAAAATATAATGCAACATCGAAGATTCTTTTGATAAGAATCCTCTTAATAATACTCATGTTCTTCACCATGATTTGTCATGAATCTACTGATCCTTCTTACTACTTATGGAATATCTGATCTTGTACTCATCATGGTATTCATAAAATTTCTCACCATTGATGCATATAGTACTCGGGACATTCTTATCATCTCTTCTTCATTGTTATAAGTCATACTCGAGAATAACTTACTTGATAGAAAGTTGAGTATAAATTAGTTTACACCCTTGCATGTTGAAGTACAACAAACTCTTAGTAATGTTGAAGTACAACAAACTCTTAGTAAGTAATTTTTCTAATAAAGTCAAACATTCTTATCTTTAATGTCTCAGTGAATTGCATCCCTAAAATCTTGTTTGTCGGTCCCTAATCCTTCATATCAAACTTTCTAGTTAATTGTGCCTTCAAAAACTAAATTCAAACCTTGTTGGGACTTACAACCAACACGTCATCCACATATAACAATAAAATCATTTTTTTCAAACTATTGTCATAAGTACAATAGTTTGAACTTAGTTTATTGTAATCAAGGTTATTCATAAAAAAATTAAATCTCTTATACTAACATCTGAACAGTGGTTTAAATCATACAAATATTTGGTTAACCCATAAATCAAGTTTCTTTTTTTTTAAAGTCTTCCAGTTGGAACATATCAATCATCTCTTCAAGTTCACCCTGGAGAAAAATAATATTTATATCCCCACTAACAATAACTTTGTGGGTAGTGGGATCGCACATGATATACCCATTCGCATTGTTAACATAGTTCACGAATTTACTCTTCCTAAACTTTAAAAACACAAGTTTCTTCTTGATGTGGTACACTCATAATCTCCTGAAATAATCATTATCACTGATATAAAATATTTGATCTCTCCTAATAAGAATAAACTAAGTCCAATATATATTTTCTTTTGATAGTCACTCTGGCAAACTTCAATTTTTGTTACTTTAAGCCAACAAATTTTCTTGACAATGTCCTCTCTTACCACAATGGTAGAAAATGAGATTCTTCCTTCCTCAAGAATTTGATCCACTATGATTTTGACTCCCACTAGAGTCTTATTTCGCCAATCTATATCTCATCATCGTTATAGTCCTTGCTTGATTCAGACTTTCCACCTTACTTTTTTGTCTGTATTCTTCTTCAAGAATAACTCTGGCAACATCCCCAAAGTGTAAATGTTCATCAATATTATTATTTGTTATATTGATAACGAGTTGATCATACGAATCTAGTAAGTTCTAAAGTAGAAGTTTTGCACACTTATTTTCAACTATGTTGAAATTTGCCACTAAAAGTTTGACAAACAATGTATTCAAATTGTTGATGTGGTTTGTCATCGATGTGGACTCACTCATTTGAAGAATATAAAGTTTTCTCTTCAAAAATATTTTTGTGTGAAGTTACTTGACCTCATACAATCTGATGAGGAACTCTCAAATCTTCTTCGTTATACCCTTCTTCGAAATACTAGACAAAATTGCATTTGTCAATGCTAAATGCAAATTTGCTATAACGTTATTGATAATTTCTTTCTACTATAAAATAGGTTAATCCGACCTCTAGCC